CAAAGGCTTAGGCAGGCCGTGGACTGCTCCTCGGCCCCAGGTATCCACCCCCACCACTGCCTACCTGAGGCCTGGGCTTCCACTTGCCTTCCTTTGACCTAAGTTTTTATCTTTTGCCAAAATGTATTTCCCAAAGGCCTAAATATTAAGCTCTCATCATAAATACCTCAGAGGGGATGAGGTTCACATAATACTTTTCACAGGATTTAGTTGACAGGGAATGTGGCCCCAGATGGATGAGCTTTAGAAGGTGGGGGTGGGGGTGGTCCTAGCTTTGGGTGGGGCAGTGGTGTGTGTTGGGGTGGCATCCTGTGTTGAAGATTCAGTGCAACATGGGGTTCTTTTGACTGATGGGGGAACTAGAAGTCCTCAGGAAAGGGGTGATGGAGGGATCAAGTTTCCCCCACTTATCAATGTGGTTTAGAGCCCAGTGCAGTAAAGGGTTGTGAAACCTTCCATGAGCTGGGCCTCCCTCGGCCAAGGGAGAGTTAAAGATCTCAGCAGAGGTCAGAGGTGAGCAAGGATGAAAGCTACACAAAAGCTGGGGCAAGGCAGGCTCATTAGCTTCCGCCTTTCCCTCCTGCTGCCTGGCCTGATATTTGAGGTGACATTTAAAGCCATTGTACAGATGTGAAGTGCAGCCCTGGCAGAACAAACACTTTCTGGAGCGTGTGGAGAGATGAGGCCGATTTCTCAGCCTCCTGGCTGGCAGCTTCTCCACCCCTCCATGTGGGCCCCTCTGCTGGGCCTTGAGAGGAGGAGGGTCTCCCCTCTACCTTCCAGGTGAGCCTAGTCTAATGGGGGACTCAGAGTCCCCCTCCCTACTGGACTCTTAGGGTATGTGGGGAGATGGGGTACACTCTAGAATTCAGAATAGTTAAATGAAGTTGGTGCTGAGCGTAAGAGAAGAGAACAGGCACAGAAGCAGATGGATCACCGTCTCAGAATCATCTGGGAGCTTGTTAACAATGCAGGCCTCTGGGAGTGAGGCCTAGTTATTGGCATGGATAAACAACCCTCTAAGGTGATTCTGCTGCCTATTAAACTTTGAGAACCTCTGAGATAGAGAATGTGTGAGGTTAGCTGGAAAAGGCCTCTTGGGAGAGGTGGACTTGAATTTCAGTGTCTAAGTGATACTTGTTTTAGATACTGTCCTCAGATGTGGACCTGTTCACCTGGGGACACTAGCCTCTATAGAAGATACTGGCAGGTGTCCATCTCATCCCCTGAATGGCATCCCTGAGAATGTGTTGCCACGGGCTTCATTTCACCACTTGGGCGCTAGTCACTAACGGGACAGAAATGGTGTGGGAGGTGGGTGAGGATGGTGTCTTCTGGAGTGTTTGATTCCTGTCGCAATAAAGTGCAGCTTGCAGGGCAAAATGGCAGCCTGGTGGAACCTGCTTCCTGGGGCAGGGTGGGGGCAGACAGCAGGTCTGCGGGCAGTCTTCACTCTGGTTTGCAGACAACAGCAACTCTGCCAACTCTTGTGTAGCCTTCACTTGTCAGCTCCATGTGTCAAAGGAGCTGGCCAGTGCTGCTGAGAGAACAGTGGCCATTATTGTCCCAGGAGATGAGTGGGAAATATTTGGGACATGATTGGATCTCTCCTCCCTCAGTGCTGCTTGCCTTCTGCTCCATACACTTGTGCCGGCTTCATCTGATCGGGAACACAGTGTTTTCATGTTGGGGTGGGTAGAGAGAGAGAGAAAGAACAGTGCCAAGGAAAGGAGAAGGAACATCGAAGAGAAAGGAACACATCTATGTTATGACATTGAGTAACTGCTGAACATCCAGACAGGCATTGGCCCTCAGGAGTGGATGGGCTGCTGGCCTGGAGACTCTGCTTGTCCCTGGAGAACTTGTCTCTGTGGCCAGCTGGGTGGGCTGGAGGAATCATGCCAACAAGAATGAGTGTTCTTACTTTGCCCATGATGAAAAAGGAGCCACTGTGAAGCATTGTTTAAGACAAAACAAAAACAACAACAAAAACCTACTAATAAGACTCTGTCCTGGCCAATATCCTGTCCTTTCTAATTGTACTGCAGCTAAATGGCAATGCTGACAGTCTCTTGGAACATTTTATTCAACTTCTGGAGGGGCTGCATTTAAAGTAAGGCTTATGAGGCTCTGTGGGAGTTGGAGAAATGAGCGGTGGTGGGCTGGGGAGTTCCCAGGAGCCCAGCTTGATAGGTTAAAGTCAATCTTGAGTCAAACTCCAGGCTGAATGGGTTCACTCTGGGCCTGACCTGAGGGGTAATGCTCATGTTCTTAGGCTCGCTGTTTGCGGGGGAAGTGCTTGCACCCATATTCTTTAAGTCTTTATTCCCTTTCTCTCTGAAAAGGAGGTTGTGTGGAATGTTTTGCCCTTGATTATGAGAGGGTGGGGAACAGGGCCAGCTCCTTTCTCCAGGCCTGGTAGCAGTAGCACCGTTAGAGCACCCTAGTTTGCACAGCATCTGCGTGGTCACTGGGACTTCCTGCCTCACAGTCAGATGCTCGTCCCACAGCCCCTCCCTGTCCAGGTCTCCCGCCATGGTGGGAGCCCCCCATTTCAGATTTCTTCCCAGTTGTGTCAGAAAAAGCCATTTTGGCGTTCTTATCTAGAGATGTACTCTCTCTGCAGCCATAAACCAAAGGCCACAGAAAAAGATGAAAGGCTCTTAGTCTGTAAGTGGCCATACTCAGACTCTACTCAGCCTGTGCCCGTGGCATGTCAGTACTTCCCTCAAGGGGCTTCCTCGGGACTCCTGTTTCTCCAGGTCCTGCCCTGCTATGAGGGCTTCCATTTCTCTGTGAAAGATGTCACAGTTCCCCAGGGAACAATCTAGAGCCCCAGAAACACTCTTAGGGAAGAGATAGATAGATGGGCACCTATTATTCATTTGATCTTAAGTAAGTGATTTAACCTCTTGGAACATGGGTTTTCTCTTTTGTAGACTGAGGAAAGTGATTTCCACTCTACAACATTGCAGGGCTGTTAAGGGGCCCAAAGGAGAGGATGGATGTAAAAGTACTTTATGAACTAAAAAGTACTGCCTACACGTGAGTGATGGATTCTTGTTATTCACAAGAGGGGAGACTTCGGGTCACTTCTTCCCACTGGAGAGAGGAGGAGGGGTTTGCATTCTTGTGTTAGCTACACACTGGAGTCTTTTGTCCATTTAAGGTAATAAGAAAATAATGCTAACAGAGCCTGAGAGGTAGCTTCTTGGGTGGTGTGTCTCTGCTCAGACCCAGTGCTGCCCCTTAAGAAAGACCCACAAGGCGGTGGTGGTGCTGCGGCAGGGGCAGGTGGGTGGAGATTGTGGCTCTGCTCGCTTTCTCCCTCCCAACTCCTGCCCCCTGGACATGCCTCCTCCCCAGAGAGCCATGCTCCCGCCAGATGCCTGACAGAGACCAGGAGGCCTGGGAGGACGTTTCCGTTAGGGCAGTGAGAAGGCATGGCTGGCATGGCCTAGGCTGAACGAGAGGTGTGACGAATGTGCAGGTGGCAGCTGGGTTGCTTTTAGGCTTGGAGAATGAGGTTTCCTAGATCTGGGGTCCCCTCAGGTTTCCTTTCTGTGAGCAGGACTCCTGGTTACCTGAGGCTCAGCCCTACCACGTGGGTGGCCAGCCCACTGTAAGAGGGGCCCTGAGCCGGGCAAGGACAGGGTACCCCATCACCCTTCTACAGGCCTTAGGCAGTGCCCAGGGGCCGAGCCCCCACAGTCCACTCTTTTCACTGTGACAAAGACAAATCTTGTAGGGGACCTAGACTCCCTTGCTCGTTCATTAGTTAATATTCACTTAAGTACTGGTGAAGTTTAAGGCACTATATTAGGTACTTTGGGGGACAGAAAGATGATTAAAAAGCAGATCCTACCTTCATGGAGTTTATGGTCAAGTAAAGGAGAAGAGGCCTGTACAAGGGAGAAGGAAGAATGAAAACAATGAAATATAAAGGAGGGAGGATGAGGGACGCCTGCCCAGATTCTGTGGCATTGGGGTTAGGTGTTGGCAGAGTTAGGAGGCTTTGGCCATGGCGAGGTGGGGGAGTGGAGAGGGCGTGCTGTGGCAGGAAGGGCAGGAGCAAAGCTGTGGAGGGAGGAAACCACGGGACATGTGGGCATGTGGGCAACTGAGAATCTGGCCAGAGGCAGGGGGTTGGAGGGCAAGGGAGAGCTTTCTGTCTGCCGCTGTCTACCGCACACTCTGCAGAAATATTATATTCTTCCTTTGCTTCGGGCCTCATGATACCTCTGGGAGGCAAATACTGTTCTCTCTAGTTTACGGAGAGGGAGCTGAGGCTTAGGGAGTTGAAGTAACTTGATCAAGGCCAGGCAAATATTAAGTGGTAAGCAGGATTTGAACCCATGGTCGTGTGACTTCAGAGACCATGCTGTCTCTACTATAACAGAAGGTCTGTGAAGAGACAGGAAGAAAGGATCCGTGACCTTTTTCTGTCATGTGGGTCTAGCAGTCTTGGACAAGGAGTGCCTTTGGTCCCGACAGAGAGGCAGTAAGGCTCCTGGTCTTCTGGACTGGCCTCAGGGTCCAGGATGGCTGAGCTGCCGGCTTCCCACCCCCCATCCTGTTGGAGGAGCCACTGGCCTCTGGTGTGGGAGGCATGGAAGCCAGGATGGCGGGAGATACTGGAATAAAATTTAAGACATGGCGCTGACCGTGGATTTTCATTCCCAAGACCACCTCAAACCTCACCTGTTTGCAAAAGTCCTCCCTGACTCCCTCCCACGCATCTCCGACCTCCCCTTGGGTCCAGGCAGGCTCCGTCTGCACACGGCGTTGTTCTGCACTTGTTCCTTTGTTGCTGTGAAACCGGCTCCCGGCACAGTCAGCCGCTGTGTGGGAGGACCGGTGGCTGTCTTTGCAGGCAAGCATTTGCTTAGAGCAGGCTGCGTGTGAGCCCAGCGTCAAGTGATTCCGGCCTCCTCGAGTCAGCGCTGGTGGGATGAGGCTCTGCCGAGGGGACTGGCTGTGAAGGATGCGTTCAGGGTGGGATGACGGACCGCTTCTGGGACCAGTGGTATCTCTGGTATCTCCGCTTGCTCCGGCTGCTGGATCGAGGTATCCGAGTGCGCGTGTGTGTCAGAGAGAGAGACTGGGACAGAGAGAGAGATACACTCGCAGACAGACAGACATAGAGATACACAGAGAGACAGCAGAGAGGGGTGTGGGGGCAAGAAGAGAGAGAAGGAATGAAACAGAGGCGATAGTGAACCCATGGAAAGTAAAGAGAGGCTATTTTTCTGGGGACATATGTGACCCAGCTGGGAATCAGGAGCGCAGGGTCATTTGGGAAGCATCTGAATAGCAGGATCTCATTTCTTGTTGGGTTTTCCATTGAGCTCAGTACTGCGGTCAAAGACAAGTTAAGCCCTGCCTTGCAGGGCTCTTTACAGAACACTCTGAGAAGCAGTGCAGGAAGGAGAATGGTTCCTGCAGCAAGAATCTGGGGGCAATAGACACAGGCTCAAGTCTCAGCTCTGCCACTGACCAACTCTGTAACCTTAGGGTGATTTATGTGACCTTTCTGAGCTTGTTTCCCCATCTGTAAAATGGGCATTTTAAGACCTATCTGCCAGGGTTTCTGTGTAGTTATTATTTAATTCATACATGTAAAACATAAAATATTATGTCTGGTCCACACAGTAGGTGCTTAGTAAATGCTAAGTTCCTCTCTGCACACCTCTCAGCATCATGGAGCTATAGCACCTGCTCTGAAGACAGCTCCTTTGTCAATTGTCTATAGATAGAGCTGGTACAGAATTTGCAGATATTGGAAAGGAAGGGGGAAGTCAGTTTTATTGCTCAGGTTAATCTGACCTTAATACATTTCACCATCAAATATTAATGCAATTAAATCTCCTGACAATGTGACACAAATCCAGATGTTCCCCTGTGAGGAAAAGCCACTGTGAATTTTGTTTAGTAATTGATTTTTTAAAAATGTTGAATGTTATTTTTAAAAGCTTTGGCTTCTTTAAGAGGTTTAGGCAAGAATGAGATCAAACCCCTGATGGAAAAGATGATCCTGGGGAAGCCCTGCTGCTCCACAGCCCAAGGTGTGTTCATCTCTGTTGGGAACAGTCTTAGGTGTGCCAGGAGGTCAATACCAGGTGGGAGCAAAAAGCTGCACAGGGAAGGTGAACCAGGTCCCTTATCAGGGGATAAATCAAAGATGGAGGAAACCAAACCAGCACACACTAAAAGCAGTCTCTCACTAGCACTGAGAAGCAGGCCAGTGGGAGCCAGACTTCAGATGAGATGACAGTGTTAAGAAGGGAACCATTCTGAAGCCAGTGTGGTCTCCAGAAAAAAAAAATAAGGAAACATAACTTCATATTGTTTAAGATCCTAGATTGGGAGAAGGGTGAAGAGATTGCCAGGTGTGAATCTCCGTTATCTGTGTGACCTCAGACAAGTTACTTAACTTCTCTGTGCCTCCTTCCCTTCATTCGTAAAAAGGGGTGATGATGATAATAGTGGTACCAACTCAGAGGGTTGCTGTAGGGGTTAAGTGGGAAACTACAAACAAAATACTTGTGTCTGGCATGAACAAAGTACCCCTTAAATGTTAGTTTTCGTTTCCAAGACAGTTAATTCTCACTCTTTGACAAACATCCTGGGAAAGACAGGAACAGGTGGTATGTAATAACCAGGAACTGAGAAAAGTCCAATTAAGAATTGTTAGAGGCTTAGAGACAATTTATACTTACATGAATTAAAACAAGATTCAAGCTAACATATGATGCCAATTATAAGAAGAAACTAAATGTTAATGTATAAGCTATGATAATACAATTTTTTTTTTTTTTTAGAAAATGCTTAAACTCATGAATTGCAAATTTAGGTTAAAGTTCTGGCTCCATTGCTGTCTAAGTGCCCTTGAACAAATGATTTACCCTCAGTTTGTTAATCTGAAAAATAAGTATATTAATAACACCTACATCATAGAATTTTGGGGAAATTATTATGTTAGTACATGTGTTAGGCATTCTTAGAAATGTCAGGTTAATGAATTTATAGGTTGGTAGATAAGGCTGTCTCCCTGGATAGCAAAAGTTGGCTGCCAGAATTATGTGTTCTTCCATGCATGTTTGGTCCCCATGTATGGTAGCTTGAAAATTATGGTCTTTCATAAATGGTGTCTCTAGGGTTTTCCTTAATGTGAAGCTTTAGACCAGCAGCTCTTGATTGTGTAGGGTGTCTGCTTTCCACGCTTTTGGGGGTTTGGTGTTGATTATGTTGCCCAGTTCTGGTTAATGGGTATTACCGTGTTACATATGCATATGTGTGTATGCTCACATTCGTATTCAAACAATTTTTGGATCTATCAACTTCCCTCTCGTAACTAATGTTAGCTAACATTGCATAGAAAATGGCTTGCTTTAAAGTGGCATGTTAGACTGAGCTAGCTTAGAGACGCTCAATAGATACTTGTCAAATGAATGAATGAATGAATGATGAACCACCCTCTGGGCAGTGTACAAATTTCCCTTAGATTTAATCTTTCTTAAGTGTAACAGAATTTAGCTCCCTTCATCTGTTTTAGGATTTTATGTCATTTTGCCTTCATCATTGCTGTCCCTTATCCATCTTGAAAGTAACGGGCCTCAAGAAAGTAAGGAGGGAATAAAAAATAAGTGGGAAATGATGAGTTTAGCCCAGGAAATTGAAATAATCAACGAGTTGTGTGCTGGCCTGAGTCGCTCACTTGGCTGTGACTGGAGGATGAATGAATCTGTGATTTGACACACCTAGGAAAAGAGAGGAAACGTTAGAACACGTCACGGAGCAGAAATAAATTTTACAAAGAAATAACAGCGTAGACTTGGTGATTGCAGACTAATCTTTTGTCACCCCCATCATTGTTCAGCCAAAGGTAAGGGTTTAAAAAATAAAAGGTATTGTTTTATAGGGCTGTATTTAACTATATGCAGGGATTTATATGATAATGAATTGCCAGCTTGTTCAGACATTATTTTGGTGACTTATTCTCACTAAAACAGATGCTGTTTTTATGATATTTGTTACTGGGCGTGTGTCAACTCTGCTGATTGTGTTCTCTGCTTATAGACATTGACTAAGGAGATAGTTCCCATAATGGGGACTGTCCATCAAAAGAAAAGAGCTTGTAAAGATAAGAAACACGAGTTGTATATAAAAGAAGAGAAGTAATGTTGCTTTTTGTTGATGTTGGGTTTTGGTGTATTTGTGAGGATCTTACAAATAAGGTGGGGTTTTACATTCCTTTGTTTACGTGTAATTTTTAGTTTTTGGTAGTGAAAGGGCAAAGAGTGAAAAACTGATGTTCTTTATTCATAGAACATCAGACAATGTTTCCCAGTATGTGAGAAGGACCATGATATAATTTTTGGTTGATCTACAGATGTTGTTTGAGCTTCTCTTGCTGGTCACTGCCTGGTACAGTCCAGAGGACAATCTACTCTGTCCAATACCTGCTTCTGCTGGGCTGTGCACCCTTGCCCCACCCTATATGGTGCAGGCCCTCCCCAGCCCCACACACTCTTCAGCTCTCCCCTCCTTCCCACCTCTAGCCTCACTCTTATTCTTACACTGCTCTGTCCTGGGCTCTGGCCCCAGATGTCTGCTCTGCCAGCTGGCCCCTGCTGCCTGTGCCTATTCTCTGTCCCTCATGCTCTTTCAGGACACAGCATCATGCTACCTGCCACCAGAATCCCCATTCCCTGGCATTTCTTTATTATTCTGCAACTCATTACCCAACTCTATCCCTTCTGGCCCCCTACGCTGGGCCGACTTTGCCCCATGGATCCAGTGTCTTCAGCCCTGGACCTCCCCTTCGCTGCCTTCCCTGCCTTCTGACTCTGCATGCCTTTACCTCTCAGGAGCCATTATCTTTTCTTCTTTTGCTTCTGCCTTTTTATGTCACCTTACCATTACCCCAAGTCCACTAGTTTCTTTTAAAAATAAATTTAAGTAAAAGATGGAATTAATATAAAGGAAATAATGGTCAAAGTTGTGGATATGGTGAAAATGGTGATAGAAATACGAAAATGACTGAAGTTTGGAAAACTTAAGTGACATGTTGAATTTACAACATAAGTTTTAGGCTGCTAATTTCTTGGTGCTTTTTGAAATCGATATATAATAACTATACATATTTATGGGGTAGACGGGATATTTTGATACATGCGTATAATGTGTAATGGTCAACTCAGGCTGTTTAGGATGTCCATCACCTTGAACATTTGTCATTTCTTTGTGTTGGGAACATTTCAGATCTTCTCTTCTAACTATTGTGAGATATCTAATATATTTTTGTTAACTATAGCCCCCCCTTAGTGTGCTGTCAAACACTGGAACTTATTCCTTCTATCTAACTGTATGTTTGTACCCTTAATCAACCTCTCTTCATCCCCCCAACCCCATTACCAGTGCCTGGTAACTATCATTCTAATCTCTACCTCCATGAGATCAACTTTTTTTAGCTCCTGTATGAGTGAGAACACACAATATTTGTCTTTCTGTGGCTGTCTTATTTCATTTAACACAATGACCTCCAGTTCCATCCATGTTGCTGCAAATGACAGGATTTCATTGTTTTTTATGGCTGAATAGTATTGTGTATATATACCACATTTTCTTTATCCATTCATCTATTGATACACACGTGGGTGGATTCCATATAATGCTACAATAAACATGAAGGTGCAGGTATCCCTTTGATGTACTGATTTCCTTTCATTTGGATAAACAGTAGTGAGATTGCTGGATTGTGTAACAGTTTTATTTTTAGTTTTTTGAGAAACCTCCATACTGTTTTCCATAATATCTCTACTAACTTACATTCCCACCAACAGCATGTAAGGGTTCCCTTTTCTCTGCATCCTTGCCAGCATCTGTTATTTTTTTCTTTTTGATAATAGCCATTTTAACTGGGGTGAGATAATATTTCGTTGTGGTTTTGATTTGCATTTCCCTGATGATTAGTGATATTGAGCATTTTCTCATATGCCTGTTGACCATTTGTATGTCTTCTTTTGAGAAATGTCTATACAGATCCTTTGCCCATTTTTTAATGG